CACCAACACATGGTGACCTCTTAGGTCTGGGAGAAAGTGTTTCAGAACTCGAAACATGGCCAGCATCTCCAGGCAGTTGATGTGCCATGTGAGATGGCAACCATTCCACAGACCGCGGGCCGAGCGGCCATTCATGACCGCTCCCCAACCAGTGAGGGACGCAACAAGGAGCTCCCAGCACCGGGCCCTGAGACAAGAACCAAGGTTTCCTCCACATGTCTAAGGCACGTAGGCATAGCCGCGTGACCTTGAGAATGCTGAGCAGGTTTCCCCTCGGGGAGAACTCCTTGGTCTTGAGCCACCACTGTAGGGGTCTCGTGTACAACAGGCCAAGAGATATCACGTTGGACACAGCTGCCATCACACCCAGCAGTTTTTGAAACTGCTTGACAGTGAGTGACAGGTCTTCTCTCACTCTCGCGACTGCAGTGAGGATCGACTCAATCCGAGCAGGAGACAGACGTGCCTGCATCGTGGTCAAATCCCACACCACGCCCAGATAAGGGGTTCTTGGCGTTTAGTCTTAACCCCAGCTCTTCAAGTGGGCGAGAACGACACCTCGATGCCGAACCGCCCCCTGCTCTGATTGAGCTAATATTAACCAATCGTCGATGTGGTTGAGTATGCGGATGCCCTGGTATCGCAGAGGAGCCAGAGCAGCATCCACACACTTTGTGAAAGTGCGGGGTGAGAGTGCAAGGTCGAACGGAAGAACCCGGTAAGCTTTTGCCCCTAAAAGCAAACCTTAGGAACTTCCATCCTTCTTCGGAACGATGAAGTACCAGCTGTAGAACCCGGACTCACTGCCAAGAGGAGGGACCACTCCTTCCTCAAGAGAGTGTCTACTTCTTGTTCCATTACCAGAGCCTGCTCGGGGCCCACCAGAGTGGAAATGACCCCGTTGAAATGAGGCAGAGGAGAGCCGAACTGAATTTGGTAGCCTCTCTCTACAGTGTGCAGGACCCACTGAGACACATTTGGCAGTAGTTTCCACGGTGGCAAATAGTCTACTAGGGGAATCAGTCTCTCGAGACTGACCTCTGGTATAATCAGAGCGGCTAGGTCGGTGCCCTGAAGTGGCGAACCGGCAGGAGACGGACGAACTAGCTGCTCTAGAGACCTCCGAAGAGGTAGCGAGCCTCTTAGTACCGCTACGTTTCCGGTGACTGAGAGAAGCGCTTGCCGGAGACCGCTGTGCCCTGATGCACCGTGAGTGGCAGGGTTGGCAGACCGATCTCCTGAGGGCACTGAGGAGAGACGGGCACCGTGTAATGCGCTGTACACCGCTCTTTAGGCGTCAGGACGTTTTAGCTGAAGACTATCCAGTGGGAATGACGGTCCGCAGATCCGCCTTCCGCTAGAAGCCTTCGGCCTGGGAGCACCACTCTGACTCTATATTCTGGGGAGTACGAGAAGTGACGCTCACAGAATGAGGAGCTGGAACACGGTAGGTTGGGACTGCTCCCGCCCAGCAGCCCCTACTGACCACCTCAACCTCCTCGGAGGAAGAGAGGTAAACACGTGCTGTTACTCGAGAAATTTTTATCCCAAGAGCTCCTGTATATCTAACTTCTTATAGTCAGATAAAATACTTCATTTAATTCCTCAAAATCAAATGCAGCCAAACAACCAGACGAGTAAACACAGTCTGATGTGATAAGATTTATATAAAAAAATGAAAATTATGTAATGCACGCGTTGATCTCAATTGCCACCGTGCCTGAGCAGCAACGGGACCGTAACCGCAAGATCACAGGCACGGACACACTCCTCGGAGTGTGCCCGGCGAGAGCGGAGCATTTTGCAGCGGGAAAAGCACAATCAGCCCCCTCGAGAGCTGAGGCATTAAATAAGACTCACAACAAATAGCGACTGACACACAGAGTGCATGCTGAATGATAGAAAGCTGCCGCCGGTTCCACCGCACGTGCTTTTAAGCTTCCTGGGTGCTACATCACCCCGTCCGTGACGTCTCGCCCATCCATTGGACTGATTACACACATGATTCAGAGCGTGGTCACGCTGAAGGCGTTCCCTTTGCATTTTGACACACCTTGAGTTCCTGAAGGGGAACCAGTATTTTCCCCATCAACATCTTTATACTTCTCTTCTTTATGTCAATAGCTTTTATCTTTTATATAAATATATATTTTATATTACACCCACACTATTGTTCAACCTCTTAGGGTCTCTGCTGATCAAGGTTGATAGAAATAGAAATCTTTTGAAAAATTATGTCTTAACTGTCACTTTTGATCAATTTAATGCAATAAAATAAACTGAATTATAACTGAATAAAAGTATTCATTTATTTCAACTAAAATCTTACTCACCCCAAACATTTAAACAGTAGTCTACACATATTTATATATTTCTTTGTATTACAAAACTTAAAGTCTCTGTCAAGATCTACGTTTTGGACTTGACAAATTTAACATCTTGAAGATGTACCACAGATTGTGTGGTGCAGGAAACAGACTCACCCGAAGCCAGCTATCATGCGACAGAGCAGGAAGAAGCCATAGCCCTGCACAAAAGAAGACAGGAAGGCGAAGAAGCCATTCATGGACATGCACATCAGCAGACACTGCCGTCTGCCCACCTTGTCAGCCATGCCGCCCCAGAAGAAGGCCCCTACCATCATCCCCAAATACACAATGCTGCCTGTAGTAAATAAGAGGAGAGGGGGAAAAAAACAAAGTGAAACAGTGTGAACACACACCTCAGGCGGAGAAACACACAGACTGATGCAGTCATATTCAGGAGAGTTTGTTTTTGTCTTCATTCTTGTTTGGCGGCTGATTTATATATACTGGTTTATATGGCGGCTGCTTCTCAGAACAAGAATACCATTAAACTTTCAGTTGACGGATGTTTTCACCTGAGGACTTTCTTTGTTGTTTTCTGGGTGAAATGAAGGAGATTTTCCGTGATAATGCTATAAGCAAGGGAGTTTGCGTGCGGTAAAAATGTTGATTACATAAGTAGCCCAAAGGAAAAACAAATAACCATTAAAAATGTATCAGATTTTAGTGATCTCAGAATTCTATATAGAAGACCTCATCACAGGATTTAACTGGAAAAGAACTTCAGCTATTGTGTATTGTACTAAGATGCCTTACATATCTAGTAGAATTAGATGGTACACAGATAAAAAGAAAAACCACCCTGAATGTCTGTTAAATATACACAAAATCTGAGTCAAATTTTTCCTAAATGATTACTTTGATGAAAAATGGGTGAATTTACAGGTAAAATAAAATAAAATATAATATAATAAAATAATGATATTCTTCTGTAGCAGACTGATTTATCTGCAAATAATCATCTACTTAAAGGGGTGGTTCGCTGTTTTTTTTCTAGGCTTGATTGTGTTTATGGGGTGTAGTCTAACATGTGTTAATGCTTAGTTTAAAAAAAAAACACATTTTCCACATAATTTACCTTTATTCCACACCACTCTGTCCCTTCTCTGAGAAACGCGCTGATCATTTCCTGCTTTTATGAAGCCCTGCCCTCAGAAATAGGCGATGGACTCTGATTGGTTAGCTAGCCCAGTGTGTCGTGATTGGCTAAACTGCCGCTAGTGCGCGTCTAAACGTCCCGCCCCTCACCTCAGCGGCATGTGCTCCGGTTGTATTGTAAACAACGGCGTCGTTAATATTGCTTATCAGTTTGAGCCCGATTGAGAAGCAGATGATATAATTGAAGAGGATCGAGCAGAACCTGTGCAAGCACGGCTTTTAATGGTAGGCCTATGTTTTTTGTTTGTTGTTGTCTCATACTTTTAGATATGCTGTTATTTGTAAATGTTACTGCTTATGTTAGCTTTTAATATACTGTTTTATCCTGATTAAAGCTTTAATACAACAAGGTAACAACACAGCATTAAGAATCATACTTTTGAACAGGGTCATTTTTATAAATTCAACTATTATTTTCTCTTGTGGACTATATGTAAACATCTTTTATGTGAAATATCTTATTCAGGTCAGTACTAATTAACAATAACATGCATTTTGTATGTTCCCTCTTATTTTGGTAAAATAATTAACATTTTGCAGACTATATATACACTCAACTATATATACTCAACTATATATTTATTTATTTACTTCTAATGAACCAATGATATATATATATATATATATATATATATATAATGTGTGTAAATATTGTAGAAAAAAAATAGTAAATAAAATAATTACATTTACAATACATAAGTCATGGAAAGAGGGAAGAGCTAAAATATTACATAAGACTGAATTTTAGCTGTTTTGTCAGATATAGAGAGCATAATAGAGAGAGATGGGGAGAAATTGGTGGATTGATAGTTGTATTTAAAAGAAATGCAGTGACACTGTTTACACAGAGCATGTGTTGCAATGCACAAAACCTTTTGGAGATTTGCTGATTTCTCAAAGTGTAAATTCTCAACTGATACAGCAGCTTTCTTTGTGACCAAGCACTTACAATTTTGCTGCTGTAGAACCAGCACAGCAATTAATAGTGAGCAGTAAACTTCTTTGCTAGTACAGTAACAAGCCTGCTAAATAGATTCACTTTGGAGGTGAACTACTTTAAGACTTGTGATTATACAATTGCGTTTATTTAATGAAGCAAAACGTGCGTATGATAAATGCATGTCTCACTTTCTAATAATACCGCAGACTCATAGAGGCATAAAAGACACATTTGTCTCCAGATGTCCATTACTTGTAATGAAGACTCCTGAAATTGGTGGATTGATAGTTGTATTTAAAAGAAATGCAGTGACACTGTTTACACAGAGCATGTGTTGCAATGCACAAAACCTTTTGGAGATTTGCTGATTTCTCAAAGTGTAAATTCTCAACTGATACAGCAGCTTTCTTTGTGACCAAGCACTTACAATTTTGCTGCTGTAGAACCAGCACAGCAATTAATAGTGAGCAGTAAACTTCTTTGCTAGTACAGTAACAAGCCTGCTAAATAGATTCACTTTGGAGGTGAACTACTACTTCAAATACTTCACCTCATTTATTTAATGAAGCAAAACGTGCGTATGATAAATGCATGTCTCACTTTCTAATAATACCGCAGACTCATAGAGGCATAAAAGACACATTTGTCTCCAGATGTCCATTACTTGTAATGAAGACTCCTGAGATCATGTCAGGCATTTCACTTTTCAGCAAGCTGCTCAGTTATAAAGGTCATACCTAAACATTACTTTATATTTTTCCATTTTTAACATTAGTTTAAAAAAAAAAGCGCCAAAAACTATTATTATTTAGTTACTTAAAAGCTCCCATCCCAATCCACTGTAACTGGAAAAGAGCCACCAGTATTACTATTGTGATTACCATTTTAATGTTGTTTTTAAACATCTCAGATTTATTAACTAATTATTTAAATATTTTTAGGTTTGCATTATTATAGCACTGATGGAGTAGCAAGCATAGCTTTTTTGTACTGGATAATGACAATAAAGATTGTCTATGTCTCTCACATACATTATTCAAAATGTTATACAAAAAAAGAAAGTCATACAGTTTTGGAACAACATGAGAGTGAGTAAATGATTTTTGGGTGAACTATCCATTTAAGCATGTGCAGTGAAATCAGCAACAAGTAATAGTAAAATTCTGCATTTAACCAGCTATCAAAGCTGTTTGTCTGTTTTGGCTTAGTGAAGCTGTAGTGCGGTTAGACACTGGTGATAGAGAGTGAGTCTGCTGGTTAGTGGAGCTGTATGAAAGCAGTTTAGTGATGACTGGGGCTGTTGACACAGCAGGGAGTGTAGGGGCCTGTAGGGGACTTAAGTGCTTATGGCTGATTATGTTTTCTCAGCAGGGTTCAGTGGGGTTGATTGTCAACTCAACAAAGCTGAGAATCATACACAGCTACTTCTACGCCAAAAAAGACGACTGTTGCAGAGAAACGCAATGCACAATAACAAAGAGATTATTCTGTTGCCTTGCACACCTAAAAACATACAATATGCATGATTTTTACAGTTATTATTATATAAGAAACATCACAAAGCAAGAGTGCTGTTGTGATTACCTTTGACGGTGGTCCGATTGCAACATCGCTTTTATAGCTACAGTAGTTCACTATTGAGTAACTTACTTTTTAGAAACAATATTTCAAATGATTTCCAAACGGAGCCAAAGTTGAAACATAACAGTCACACGTAATTGGCATGTCATGTGGTAGCTGGGGAGTCTCAGAACAAACACTTGAGTTGTTTCGTTCCTGTTTTGAACGAATCGGTTGAATGAATGATTCAATGAGTCATAAAGATATTGTCGCCACCTACTGGCGTAACAAAGAAACCTACACTGTCAAATTCCTTCCACTAATGCACAGTCTGTATGGAAACTGAAGCACATTGATACAAAAACAATGAATACATCACTTAAAATACCATTTAGTTGTCCAGTTATTGTTACCTCTCTAAAGTCACACTGTAAAAAATTATTATATGATCAATAAGTTATGGTAACATGTTTTTATATTACTTTAATTCATCAAAATATTTTAACCAACTTCAACATCATTTTTTAGGTTTTATGAGATTCAACTTATTTTTTTAAGTCAGTTTAATATAATTTAAATTGAAATTACTTGTAAACCCAAATTAAATACATTTAAACATTTAAGGCAGCAACTGAACTTAGGTTTTTAAGTTGAAATAGGCCGAATGTTTTACAGCGCATAAACTATTAATACAGGATTTGTTTAAAACAGTGTAAAAAGTCTTTATTTTCATTCCTTTGTAATGGCAGTGATGGAGCCAAAAGCAAAATGTATACATTCCCCTGAGAAACTTTGCGTTCGCTCACAAAACTGGTGATGGAAATAATATGAGGAAGGAAAAATTTTATTTCAATGCTTCTGCAAGCAAACGCAAAGTTATCATAAGAATGCAAGGCACTTTGCAAGAGAACCCAAAAATATTTACATTTTTCCTCCAATTTCATATCTTTCAAACACCATGTCCATAGGTTACAATAACTATAGTATCATATCATATATCATATCATGGCATTTTGTCAGAAGCTGGTGATTACCATGATACATTTTCATTAATAAATAATTCTAACTATTAAGAGTTATTAATAATGTTAGACCAATAAACTATATCGTAACGTGAAAACAGTGATAACCAGTCACCAGCAGAATTTTAATTCTTATGGAAAGTAGACCCAGAGGAAAGCACAAGTGCTCATTTATTCAGGGCTTTTAAAAATGAATCACCCCCATAAGACGAATAACTCACAAATGAAACAATAAACTATCTTTTTACTACCTGGACTGATGTTATTTTTCCATTGTCGGCTTGTCTTTAGGATCTGTGCATTAAAAACCATCTGGGTGTATGGAGCGACAAAGCTGAAATGATTATAGCAGCATGATTTATATTCTGTTGCTGAATATCTGGGCCATAGAATTTAAAAGAGAGCATTAAACAGAGAAATGAAAGAGAATAAAAGGTTTGGGAAAATAGAGTCAGAAAGGCAGTATTATTTTAAGCAAATGTTCTCTGTAAAATCAAGTGTGTGTGTGTGTGTGTGTGTGTGTATATATATATATATATATATCCCTTTTTCTCTCTCGCACACACTGAGAGGCTGTGCAGGTCTTGTAATCTCTGCAGTGGGTGATTTCACTGCAGTTTAGCCAAGCTCAGCGTCTCCTAGACTCAACAATGCACAAAAAGAGACAGATAAAGAGAATAATGAGAGAGGGTGGACAGAGAAAGAGAGCGAGAAAAGGGGTTATGATAAGATGTAGTAGATAAATCAGCCACAGATTAATAGACAAAGATGGGCTCCTGGATCTAAGCCAAAAGTAATGGAAGATACATCACACAACGTGTTCACAACACCATCCATTACTGTAATTGTGTGATGCAGCAATTTTCCATTGCCTTCTTTCTATCGAATACTAAATGCCCCTTGGGTATAATTCATAGATTTTAATCAGGATGAATTAATATTGGTAATAAAGCCAATAGACTGTGAAACTACATTGAACTAAATTGTCCTGTACAGGCAGAAACGGATCAAATAATGTCTGCATGCATGAACATAACAAAAGTCAATTTCCTTCTCTAACTCATGATAGCCTTGAATAATGCCTGGGAGAAGGATAGTTAATATCAAAGTACACGTATGTCAGTAACGTGTTCAGTCCACTGCGGTTCTGTTCGTACAGAACATATCATACAAACTCTCAAAATGTTGTTTCTTAAAAATGTACTACAGCAAAATAATTTGGTCTCAGTAAAAAGCTCAAATATAAAAGGCCCATTATATTTAGCATCTGTTTAAACATTTATAAAACCACAACTGAACAGTTTGAACAAATTTGTCAATTACAGTTGTCTCAATATTCTTTCAAACTCGTAGCATAGTGTATGGATTTCTGATGGCGACTTTTTTCTCTTTAGCTTGAAAGTATCAATCACTGTATACTGTTTATTGCATGGAAAAGAGAAGCCTGGACATTCTGCTAAACTTCTTACTATTAGATTTCATGAAAGAAAAGCATAAAGTACAGTATATGGGTTTTGAATGACTTGAGGATGAGTAAATGACTACAGAAAATGAATGTGTGAATTGTGATCAGGTTTAAACATCAGATGTGGAATGTGGCACTGTGCCATTTCACTAGTTACACTATGACAGCAAACAGAAAAAGAGACAACACTTGAATGCTAACTAGGACCTGCAGAAAGTTCATATTCTGCAGCATCTCTGCACTAAATCACCACTGCACCACTGTGTCTGCTGGAGAGCAGCCATTACCTTACTCACTGAGAGATATTCACTGTTTAACACAACTGAATTAGACTGTTGTTAGTCAGCGGGCTCTAAATTGCTGCCTGAATATCTGCTTGAAACAATGCATTGTTCTCTGAAAGAAGTTTGGAGTTAGTAGTTTTTTAAAAGCAAGGATTAAAGTGATTAAAATGACAGTAAAGACTTTTATACTGTTACAAAAAAAAATCCATTAAAAAATAAATCCTTTCAAACTTTCTATTCATCAAATAATTCTGAAAAAATGATCATTGTATCAAGTAAAAATCATTTGTAAAATATATTTAAACAGTTATTTAAAATATATAGTATATATATATATATATATATAAATCACAATATTTCAGTTTTTACTGTATTTTGTATTAAATAAATGCAGCCGTTGTGAGTTTAAAAAGATTAAAAAGACATAAAAGCATTTCAAAGCTATTTCTTTTGATCCCTATACAGTGTTTCAATCTTTCTGGCTGAGGAGCAGCAAATTCTTCTGCTGATGACCGTATCTGATCTCAAAAGCCAGTAGCTGTACCGGCAGTCACAGCCGGCCACGTGCGATTATGTCTTAAAAGCCATTGACAGAGTAAGGACAAAGAGAGAGAGGGAGCATGAAAGAGAGGGAAGCAGAGCATGCCACACAATGCCCTCAGGGCTCTCCAGATGAGTGCATAAGTGAAGAAAAAGCAGGATAAAAAAAGAAGGATAGAGAGAAAGAGAGATACTCAGACTTGATTAAACTTATAAAACACATAAGAATGTCAATTTATATGAATATCAATGACCCTAAACCAGGTCAATGAGAACTTGTAGACTGTTTAAAGAAGTATCACACACTTTCTCTTGATGATCAAATAATATAAAAATATTTTGATATTGTTGCTTCCTTTTTGTCCAGTATAGTAAACTGTCTGGCCACACTAAATAATAATCTACTACTGAATACAACAGCCAATAATAATAATAAATAAAAATAATAGGTCATATATTTCAAAAGAAAAAGATACTACCGTGTTTGGTTAATGTTTTTGGAAAATATTACTCTTTTGCTCAACTTGACCATTTCATTCAAAAGTAAAACAATGATTTTGTGAAATAATATTACAATTTAAAATTGCTGTTTTCTTTTTAAATATAAATATTTTTAATGTAATTTATTTCTGTGATGGCAAAGCAAAATTTTCAGCAGTCATTACTCCAGACTTTAATGTCACATAATCCTTCAGAAATCATTCTAATATATTAATTTGCTGCTTTTCGTTCATCGTTCAAGACCTTCGTTCATCTTCGGAACACAAATTAAGATATTTTTGATGAAATCCGAAAGCAAGGGTACTACCATGGTCAAGGCACAGAAACGTAGTAAGGACATTGTTAAAATAGTCCATGTGACATCAGTGGTTCAACTGTAATTTTATGAAGCTACGAGAATACTTTTTGTGCACAAAGAAAATTCAATTAACGACTTTATTCAACAATTCTTCTCCTCCGCGTCACCCTTGGGCACCATTTTGGAGAGTATCACGACACATGCACGTGCTCTCCTCTGAATGTAAACGAGGCACAGCGCATGTGTGTTCTACATCAACAGCACCACATGCATGCTTTGTTTATGTGCTGGAAAAGCACGCGTACTGCATGCATCGTGATACTCTCCAAAATGGAAAATGGTATCACAAAATGGTTACGGGTTTGGAATGACATGAGGGTGAGTACTTAATGATATAATTTTCCTTTTTGGGTGAACTAAGCCTGGCACTAGCAACACCAAGCTCATGGATTGAATTCCCAGGGAATGCATGACTGTTAAAATGCAAACTTTGCATACAATGTGCTATATGCATAAATATATAGTGTTTATGTACAATAGTTACATTCCTGTTATTCTTACCTAGCCATCCAGAGCTCGAGTCAGGCACACACATATCCGTCTCTGCACTAGGGAGAACAAAGCCCACCACGAAGACCTCCACACCATCAGACATGAGCGCCAAGCCCAGAGTGAAGAACAGCTGCCACTGAAACCTGCCATGTCCACACTCCTGAATGATGAGCTCGTACTGCTGCGCCAGCTCCTCCTCGTCTGCCTGCCTCTCGTTCTCCAGCTCTCTCCGGTCCTTCAGGCCATCCGCCAGCGGCTGTCCCAGAGCCACCTGTCCATCTCTGGCCTTTGCATCCGAGGGGATCCCCTGGTACTCCCCTTCATATATCTCATCCTCGTCATCGTGACCCTCAGTGGCGTCACTGGATCCCTCTTCATCATTGGCGTGGTCTCCTGTGTAGTTCCCATCCGGCTGGCTGTAGTAGTCATCGTCTTCATCCTGGAAGCGCTGGTAGGTGCGACTATGGGAGTACTCGTCTGAGGCACGGTCCACAACTTTGTTGACCTTCTTAACAGCTTGTCGTTTGGCCTCCTTAGCAATGACTCTGGCCCCCTTCATGAGGGAAGACGTGTCTTGTGGAGCTATATCATCCATGATTAGATGGTGGAGGGGAAGAGGTCTGCAGTCACCACAGAAGAAGTGCTTTTGCCTTTATGGCTCTCATGAGTCTGGGAGAAACACAGGTTTAAAGTTATTTTGTGAGGGCTAAAGCTTTGGGCTATATAGTTCATAAACTATGCACTTAGTCATACTGCCCAAAATCTATCTATATCTATAAAAATATTATATATATATATATATATATATATA